TCACCACCAAAGGGAAGGTGGCTGGGACCTGAGGGTGGGGTTAAGCAGCCAGGTGGATACAAAAGGCAGACAGGTGGGCTTTGGGGACCCCCCATTTTGACTCTCCACCAGCTGCAGCGTCCCGCCAGCTCGGAGAGTGACTTTGGGTTTCCAGGTCAGCGGATCGGGTAGGACGCATTAAAGACTTTATTTCCCTATTTTCTCCCTGAGTTGTACATTTTCCTTATTTCCTTTTCTCTTGTAAATAAACCTTTTATTAACCCTTTTGTGTGTGTCTGTAGTGGAGTATTCATAAGTCCCTTTAAAGCGCGCGGGTGAGGACCCACAGCCAGGAACCCGTTTAATATCGGGGTTGCTCTATAACAGTACGACCTGACTTCGGGCGTGTCTCTGATATTTTTCTAGCAGGTGTCATCTGTCCAACGTAAGCACAGAGAAGACTGATGTTTATATAATTCAGAACTGGCTTACAGCCAGGTGGGTGTGACCAAAAGATTGGTGAGCAAGGGAACTGAAGGTGTTTGCCAGAGGGAGATTGTTTTTGTGAAGCTATGCTGGGTAGGGAGGGAAACACAAGGTGGGCGTGGAGGGAGAGAGTGTGGCAGGACCTAGGGCCTAGAGGCCCCCATGAATTGGGAGTGCAGAGGGGTGCATAAGCAAGCAAGCCAGAAGGAGAGGACTCTGGGATTGGAAAGTGGGCTGTCAGAACCAGTGGTGTGGAAGATGGAGTCTTTTCTGCTATGGCATCTCAGCAGGAAGCCCTGGAGTGGGTGGTAGGGGAGAGTAGGGGGATGAAACACAGTAGAGACGAGGAAGCAAGAAACTGAGAAAGCAGAGGGTTCGTGGTTAGGTGGATGCTAACACTTCCTCGAGTGGTGACAGATGGTGGACAGACAGGAGGATAGTAAGTCTGGTGCTACATCTTAGATAAATGGGGTAAAACGTATTTGAAGACTGCAGCCTCCTAAGGTCTGGGAGTTATTGAGTGGAGGAGCAACGGTCTTAGAAGCAAGAAGGAGTACCCCACTTTCCTGAACTGGTATAAAGAGGCAGAGGGAAGCTAAACAGCCCCACCAGGAAAGGCTGGGGAAGAACAGTTTACTAGACAGAGCCGGGATTCCTTGTGACGGTGGTTCTCAGCCCCAATTACACACTGGAATCATCCAGAGAGCTTTAAAAAAATACCCAAGCCCAGGTCCCACCTCAGCCTGATAAATCAGAATCTCTGGAACCAAGGACCTTGTAACATTTAAAAGCCCCCTCCCCATGCTAGTAATTTTTATGTGTAAATGAGTTTTTAAGACACTGATTTAAGGCAAAGATGTGGAGGGAACTTTGGAGAAGGACTATAAATAAGAGAGCTTTCCTGAATGTATAAACCACACATTTCCCCAAAGTCCCCCAAGAATCCATGCTCACAGGAGTGGAGCATAAGCACCAGGAAATGCTCTCCCAGGTCTGCCAGACCCTTCAGTTTTTTGGTTTTTTTTTTTTAAAAGATTTATTTATTTATGCACACAAGAATAGGGCTACTCTGACTCAGGGCAGAGGTACAGGGTAGGAGAGGATTCACCAGAGACAGAGTGGGGAATAAGACAGGTGGATTGACTGAAATACACTGCTGAGGGGAGCAGTGGGTGAGACAGGAGAGGTCTGCTGTGCCATGTGGGTAGCTCCCTGGCCAGGGATCGAAATCGTGCCTCAGTGGCTGTGGTCAGCTTCATGGGTTGCATCTTAACAGAGATTCTGATCAACAGAGATTCTGATCAATAGAGATTCTGATCTTTGCAAGGATCCCGGGTGAGTTTTCCTTTTTGTTTAATCTTCCTTTACACTTTTTGCTGGGGATGTGGAGAACAGGAGGGGTTGTCTCATGCACATTAATTGAAGAGGTTGTGTGGGTAGCTTTCAGCACAGAACCAATGACAGAAAGCCACCCCTTGCTCTGTGGCTCAGTCTGACTCCACTGAAATAGGATGGTATAGGAATGATGTAGAGATAACAAGGATGACAGAGATACCAGTTGACCTTACTCAGGGCCCCAGGCCCTGGATGATTTACAAGCACCATCTCTTTTAGTCTACACCCTCCCTTGAGAAGAGTAGTACCTAAATCCCCACTGCAGGTGAGTTCACCAGAGCTCCAGAGAGAGACTTGACTTGCCCGAGGTCACCAACTAGTAAGTTCCATAACCTTAGCAGCCTCCAGAGACCCAAGCCTTCCTCACTGTACTTCACGCCAGGTAGCTGCAGAACTGTTTCCTTCAGGCTGCAACACTCAGAGATTCTTCCACTACCCCTGGCTTTCTATCCCCAAAGGGAGGGGCTGCAAGGCCGATTTCAGAGGTGTCAGAGGGCCAGTGCTTTCACTGAAAAGGTAAAGCAGGCTCCTGGGAGCGAATCTGAGGTGCACGAGGGGGAAATGACATCATGGGGTTTCGCTGGGCAGGCCTCCCCACAGGTGCTCCCCTGAGGGCTTCCCAGGGACACAATACCTGGCTTTCTATGAGTCTCAGGAGCACCTCTCTCCTGATGAGGAAACCTCATCTCCCCAGGTCCGGACACCTACTTGGCTGGTGAGAGCCTTACGGATCTAATCATTGCCCAGAAGCTTCTGGGTGGTATTTCTTAGCTGCACAAAAGTATCTCAATTTTTTTTTTCCCCTCCTAGTATTCCATCTTTTTAAGTTAGGTAAGTTTAACCTCTTGCTTCTTGGTGCAGCATTTCTGCAAATTCAACATGCAAGTTATTAGTATTGGAAAAAAATCGCTCCTTTCAAAACAGATCCTGAAACTCGAAGGGGGCATTTCCAATATATCCATAAAGCCAACAAGACAGCTTAATTGTTTGTTTCTCCAAGGGAGGACGCTAAGCCCGGAATTAATTTGGTTCAGCCGGTGAAACAATTCGTTTGCTCTGCCTAATTCTGCCAATTAAAGAACTTTTCCAGACACAATTAGCATGCAAATCAGCGGCGGAGAGAGGGTCTCGCAGACCCCGCGGAGAGGAGGTGCGGGACGCAGAATCCCGGGGTGCGCTTGGGCCCAAGCTTGGGGCGTCACGGACGAGCTCCGGGACCCGGCTCGCTCGGACTCTGCGGTCACCTGGCGCCCACTCGGCGCAGCCAAGGATCCAGCCAGCGCCAGCACCCCGAACCCCACCAGATCCCCGACACCGCCCCGCCCCAGGCCTCGGGAGCGCGCAGCCCAGCCCGCCGCCCCCCCAACGCCCCAACCCCCTCCCTGAGCTGGCTCCCCGGGCCGCGGGGGCTGCGCGCGCACCTAGAGCCGCGCCCCCGGCACCCCGGTTCTGCGGTGGCGTGTGGCTGGGAGAGGTGGAGATAGCGGCCCCTGCTGACAGCTCCGGCTAACAGCAGGAGACTGACTTTTCTCCCTCATTCATTCGCCCCACCTTTTCCAGGTGGTTTTGGGGTGGGGGGAAATTAGGGTGTTGTCGCGTGTGAATTTATTCTGCACGAGCCTTCGAGAGCAGGTGTCTGCGCGCAACTTGCGTTCCCAACAGTAAAGGCAAAAAAATAAAAATAAATAAAAAAGGAATGCGACTTTTTAGTGGCCCTGCCCCCCTAAAGGAAACAGTTTCCAAGGCACTTGGGTACCTGACCTCAGGGCGGTGGAGACCTGGGTCTCTCCCCCTGCGCTTTTCTCGGTCAGCCCCAGGACTAGGAATTATTGCTCCGAGAAGTGCTGGGCCGCTCCACACTTTCTTTTAAAAGCTGGGCCGAGGCCAGCACCGTCTGAGCAGCCCACTTGGGGAGCAGCGACCGCAGCTCACAGTTGTTTGCTGGCCGAGCGTGCGCGCCCGGGAGCGCGCGGAGCTTGGGGGAAGGAGACGGGGGGCCGGAGGGGTTGGCACAAGCCTGTGATTGCAGGGCGTTTGGGGCCATTGTAAGTTTGGGTGGTGAAGAAGGGCTGTGCCCGCCTTTCTTCGTGTGCTAACAATAGCGCCTTGGAGGTAGCTGGGATTTGCTGCCACGAAACTGTCGGGCTCTCCTTGGAATACTCTGCGTCTTATTTCTCAAGTTTACTTATTTCTAAGCTGGGTCCCCACACTCAGCCTTAAAACAGATCGTTGTTGTGAAAGGCACCGTTCTTTGTGCTGCGTGCATTTGCTCCAACGTGCTTTATTAACAAGTGTGTGCGCGTTAACTAACAGCTGTGCTCCAATCTCCAAAGCGTGTTTGCACGACTCCGGCTTTTTTCCCAACTCATCTGGGTGCCTGGCGCGTCCATCCCTTCTGGAATCCACCTCTTGATACAGCAATCAGAATTAGCCAGGCTCGCCGTTCACTTACCCTCATCCTTTAAAACTTTTCCATTTAAGAAAATCGATGAGCAAACCCTTTCTTGTAACTCGTTCCTGCGCTACGTCTATTTTTATTTATTTTTCTGATTTGGCAGGGCTCAGCAGGGCTGTCCGGGATTTTATTTTTTATTTATTTATTTATTTTTGCTTGCTCGCTTGCCTGCTAGAGCAGATGCGGGGGTTAGAGGCGAGGGACGAGAGCTGGGCTCTCTGCTAGAGTCTCCCCCCCAGGGGGACCTCCGCCGAGCGCGCGTCGGGGCGCAGCATCCTGGTAGGCGCGAGCTGCGCGGCCGGTGGACCCAAAGCTCCACCTGCAGCCACACAGCGTTGTTCTGGCCTCTCTCCGCCTCGCGCTCTCTCATTCACACACGCACAGCACAGTTCTCCTTCGGGTCGGCACAGACGCTGAAGGAGGCGGGGTTGCAGGAGGCGAGTCCGCTCTGCGCAATCCAGTCCGGGACTTGGCTCCGCCCGGGAGCGGCGGCCTCTCCGGTGACAGAGTAGTGAGCTCGCAAGGGGTGAGGCTGCAGCCAACTCCGCTCCCCGCGCACTCGCCTGCCCGGGCGCTCGGGACCCAGCAGCAGCGCTTCTCCGCGGGGCCGACCGCCAGCGATGCCGGCTTAGGAGCGCGCGGCAGCGGCCAGCATCGCCCTCCCCGCGGCACAGCCTCCCCGCGGCTGAGCGGGGCGAGAGCCGTGCACCCCAGCTCCAGCCCCCACCCCGCCCCCCACCCTGAAATGACTTGTTAATCGGCGCAGACACCACCGAAGGGACTCGGCGGAGTGGAATCCAAGTGGAAATTGGATTTGCAGAAGAGTTTCTTGAACATTTCTTCCTTCCCCGTTGGCTCTTTCTTTTTTCTTCTCCCCTACTCGCCTGTCATCGGAGATGCGCACAACGCGTTTGCACCCCAGAAAGTAGTCGCCTTGACTGTCCCCCCCCCAAAGAGACAGGCACACATGTAGGAATGACAAAGGCTGGCGAAGAAGAGAGCGCAGCTCGCCGCCCGGAGATAGCCCCTTGATAATGGATTACTAAATGGGATTCAAGCCGTACCAGCCCGCTCCGAGCCCCGGCCTTCTGTCCGTCGATGCACCGAAAAGGTACGGCCCGGGGTTCCCGGCGCGCCCCACCTCCCGGGCGCCGAGGGGCTCCAGCCCGCGGGTACCCGGCCGCGGGCAGCGCGCGCGCTGCCGGCTTTGTGGTGCCTGCGTTTTATTTTGTCTCGTGTCTGTCTCCCGAGCGTTGCCCGGCCCTGGGGGAGAAGTCGTGAGCCCTGCCTAACGCTTCTTTCTGCCCTGCGCCCCAGAGACCGCCCGGCTCTGTGGTGCGAGCTTCCCCACCCGCACCGCGCACACGCCGGGCGCCGCCCGGGACCGCGACCGCGACCGCGCGGATGGCTGCCCAGCCCTGGGGTGTGGGCACAGGACCCGGGGCGCGTCCTCACTTTCGGGCCAGCGGGGAGCCAGCGGAGAGGTCCCAGGAGGGTGGGCTTCTCGGAAGCTCCCCGCTCCGGGGCGGAGGCGAGGGAAGGGTTTCTGTCCCCGAGGGCTGGAGCTCCGCGGAGCGCTCTTTTCGCCCAGTACCAGGTTTGGGTTCTAGGGCAGGAGAAGGGGTTCCGCAGAGACGGCAGGGGAGCGAGGAGAATCTTTTGTTGTCCGCGCCAGGTCTGAGCTGGGCTCTGTGGAGTGCGGGAAACTTGTAATGGCCCTGGCACCCGCGCGCCCTGCCACTTGGGGACATCACGGCTCCCGCGGCCGCTGGCACCGGAGGTTCCGGGCTTTGTTTGCGCGAATGAGTGGCCAGGAGCGGCCTTCTCCTGGTGTGGCGCGGCGCCCCCGCCCTGGGTCCTATCCCCGGCCGCAGCTCCCTCCCGGGCGGCGAGGGGAGCATCCATCTGGACCGCGCGCCCCACTAGCTGAGTCCGGCTCGCCCCGGCTGGCGCACGCCGTCCCCCCGCCAGATTCTGCGCGATTCCGCTCGGGAAAGGTGTCCCGGGGAGGCGGAAGGGTGTGGAAACCTGGCAAGAGATGGCCCAGGGCTTGCGCTCTGGACCTCGTCTCTGCCTGGCCTCCAGGTTCTGGCTGTCCCAACTCCTGGCGGCGACGCACCGCTGCGCCTCTCCAGCGGCGGGATCCTCGGGAGCAAACCCGACGGCGCCCACCCACCCTCCACGACCCCTCTGGGTGGGAAGTGACTTCTCTCCAGATTTTCCGCTTTTTTCTCAACTGCCCACTGTCGGGCAGTGCGAAGCTGGCTCTTGAGGTCCCGACCTCCTCCCAGAACCCGAGCGTCATAGGGGGAGCCCGGGAGCTTGTGGGTGTCGGGAAGGAAGCCGGACTTGGCCGTCTTTCCCGCTCCCTCCCCGCCCCTCCGCCCGGCGCCGCCTCCAGCTTTTCCAGCGCCGGACCCCTCGGCCAGTCGCTGTAGGAAAGTTTCTCTGAAAGCCTGGGGGGCAAAAGGAGGTGCAGCGAGCTTGTCAGGCTTATAGGCTCAGCATCTGCACCTGCAGGAAGGGGACCCGTAGACCGCCCGCATGAGGCTAGGAGCTCGGGTCTGACAGTGGCGCCCCCAGACCCGAGGTGAGCTGGGCAGGGATCGCGGCGCGGCACTTGCTGGACCAGCTCTCGGCACTGGAAGAAAGAATGGCTGAGGCGTGGGCGAAGGGCTGGAAGGGGTAGTTAAGGGAGGGACGCGGCTCGGGATGTTTGCGCGGCCGCTGTGGGTAGCGGCTGGCGCGCGGATGCGTGTGGATACCAGCGGGGGTTCCCCGGCTTGCAGGTACCCAGCGCCAAGTGCAGCATCAGCAGCCTCCTGCGCCCACGCGCCCCATTCCAGCCACAGGGTGTCCGGGGCGGAGTGGAGCAGGGAGCCTGGTGTGTGCGGAGCTGGGACAGCAACCGCTGCCGACACGGCCACGGCGGCCTCCGGCCTGTCATGCAGCGAGCAACCCCTCCAAGCATTCCGCACTGGTCTTGGGGAGAAAGGGGGCTGCTTGGGGGATGCGGTGGCCAGCCACTGCCTTGGAGAACAGCTCTTTGCTTAAGCTGAATGGAAAGCTGGTTGCTACTGAATGGGATCCATGAAAGGTTTAAAACACAGACGCGGGAGCAAGCACGGACACACACACACACACACACACACACACACAATCTCACACTTGTAAGCACAACTTTCTTTGCCTCAAATCGGAAAAGATTTAAGCCCAATTATGTTAGAGCAGCAGGTCTCAGGAAAGTGATTTAATGCCCCCCAGTGCTGGTTTTTAAGACTCTCCCTGGTGGAACTGAGCTGAATCTTGCCTTTCTTTAATCCTGGTAATCGTCCACCTTCCTTTTCCTGGTGACATGCATCATACAGCAAGCAGGCAGCCTGCCGCTGATATCAGGGGAAAACTGGTTTGGGATACAGGAATCCTGGCATTGAGGTTGTCCCCCCAAAGTAAACATGCTTGTGCTCAATTCTGAATGAAAATATCTTCCTCGTAGACAACTTACCCAAATGGCTACCAGAGGTCAAGCTCGGAAGCATTTTTTATGGCGTTTTGTTTTTTTTTTTTTTTTATTAGCCTGTTTAGTCTGCATGGACCAGTTTTATGATTTACAGTAAGCTTTGATTAAACTACTCCAGGCACCAAAGTTAATTATTAACTTAACCTTAAATACAGTGGCAGAACTGTGTCTCCACCTATTAACCTAAACTATCTGTTAAAAAATAATTACGTTAACTATTTGAATCTGATGGTTACTTTTATGTGAATCTGGAGTAACCCCCAGTCTCTTCTATTCCTTTGGCTTTAGCACATTCTTGAATGAGACACTCTGTGAGCCAATCTGAAAACAGAAAAGAATGAACCTCCAGACTTCAAAGCTTATTTTTGTGTTGTATCTTTTTTTCCATTTGATATAAAGAAGCCTTGTAGTTCCTGTTTCTCATTTACAATGTTTGTGGGTGACAATCTTTCTAAAGTGTTATGTTTTGCAGTTATCACCCCTTAGAGATGTGCCACATTCTCACTAATGCTTATAATCCACATATGTAAATGTTCAGCAGGCACCCAAAATCATTATCTCAAGAGCCATCTGCAGAACATACTTAGTGGGTATAGCATCTAAGGTTAAAAATTCATAAGAGTCAGGGTAGAAACACAAGTAAATGTTGAATAAATGAATGAAACAGTTGCATGTGATTAACATTTCTCCACTTTAAAAGGGACCTGTTGTTGTTTTTTTCTTCTACAATGAAAAAAAATATGCCTTCAAGGCAGTGGCTATTATGAAGTGGCAATAGTGCAAGTCTTATTGACACAAACACACACTCTTGCAGTTCTTTCAAAGACTAGTGGATGCTTTTGTCATCATTAAAAATTATAGCATTTGCATGTTGAGGAGGTGGCTGTAGTGGAGTGTGTTGAATCAGAAGGAGAGCAGGGATTAGGAAGACTCTGATCTTCACTGAATGAAAATAAGACCCCCAAATTAAGAACTTGTATTAAATTCAAAATAAATACTCATGCTTTAAAAGCAAATGGGTAATTGCTCTCCCTTATGAAATAGAAGGGAAAATACTGTTTTGAACAAGGAGGTAAGTCAGATACTTTACTCTGTGTACATAGTGGTTCAGCCTTTTTCCCAGCAGGACAAAAGAGAGATGAAGGGAGAAAAAGTTTTTTTAGAACTAGATTGCCAAGAGCTAATGTATTCTCCCATCTTATTTGTTTGCAGAAAGGAATCACAGAACAAGCCAAACTAATTGCAAATGCTTTAATTAGGCATCTGCCATTTGCAGCAGTGTAAAGCCTCAGAAAGCCTGCCTGTCTCTGCACTCCACCCTCTGCTCCCCACTTTAGATGTCGACCTTTTCTTGTGGCACTCCCAGAGCCCCAGAGCGGTGTTCCTGCTTCCAGGGGAAGATGCAGCTTGGAAGCATGCTGCTGTGCCCTCCCACACCAGTGTCCCCCACTCTCTTGGGGTGTGTCAGAGCCAAGTTGTCTCTGAGATATCTCTATTCCGGAGTGAAAGCTTTTCTCATCTGCCTTAAAATGTGCTGCAGGAGTAACTGAGCTATTCTCTGCTGGCAACCACATGCTTCCCTCCTGGGGATATGGTAAGGTAGGGAAGGCAGGGAGGCATTTAATCCCTTTGAAATGGGCAAATAAGATGTCATACCACACAAACCTCAAGGGGAGAAGGGAGTTCTGGACGCTTCTTAACTTGGGCTTATTTATAGTAGACTGTAGACACAGGGTGTCTTGCTTGGTGAAGCCAAAGCATTCTTGCAAGACTTTTTTTTTATGAACTTGGTTCTAATTGCACTAATGGAGAGTGTCATGTCAAGCCAGCAATACCGTGGAAACCTAAAATGACCCCTCAGCCCAGACATGGTAGGTAGCTCCTCTTGGGTCTAATAGATGACATCTTCATGTGTGCAGACCCAGAATCCTGGATCCTTCTCACCCAAAACTACTTTTCTTATAATCACCATCTTGGTAAATGGCCATGCCATCCTTAGAGTTGCTGAGGCCTGAGAACTCCAGTTATCCTTGACCCTTGGCTTCCCCACGGAGGCCGGCTCTGCTGCTGTGGGCCCACCTGCAGAACCCTCCAGGTCTTCACCCTCTGTGGCCCACACATTGGCCAAACCACTTCCTCTCCTGCTGGGGGATGGAGCCAGCCTCCCCCCAGTGCCCTTGCTTTGCTCTGGGCCCCCCTACAGTTTTTTCCCAACACAGTGATTTTTAAAAACCTCGCCAGATCAGACCCCATCTGCTCAGATGCTTTCCCATCTGATTCCCATCAAAGACTAAGCCTGTCCCATGGCTCTGGTGGCCTCCCGAGTCTCTGAATGCCGCACCTGTGAGTTATCTGAGTCTGCCCCAGGCACACTGTGGCTGTTGGCTGGGTCTTCCCAGTCGCTCTTTGGTGGCGTGGGTGGTCTTCACCCCAGGCAGACACATGAGTGGCTGCTCACCCTCAGGTCTCTGCTCTGACATCATTTTCTCAGGGAAATCTTTGCCAATCGCCTTATTTACACCACCCTTTCCCCACAAAACCCCCTACCCCCTGGTCTGCTCATTTTTCTCCTTAGCCCTCTCACCACCTGACCAACTTTAGGTTGCCCTCCTGTTTTCTCTTCCACTAGAACATGGTGCCACGGGATAGACATTTTTCATGGTTTAAGCTGTATCTCCAGCACCTAGTCCTCTGCCTGGCACATACTAGACTCTTTATAAGTATATGTTGAATGAAGGAAGAGTGAATCTTCTTATAAACAACTGGCTTTTATTTTATCTCTGTTGTCTGCTCTGATTTTTCTAGAAGGTGTTTCGATCAGATAGTTCTCTGACTGCTTGAGTGAATGTGTGCATGCCTCTGTGTGTGTGTGTGTGTGTAGAGTACTGTCTTCCACATGAGTGCGTGCTGTGTCTCATGCGCCATTAGCAGAGTATTCACTGGGGGTTGTTTTCTCAGTCCTGGCGATGGACTGTAGCCTACTAGTTCCCACACTTTCACCCAGTGCCCTTCCGTGGCCGGGAGCACACATCTGCCAGACACCTGGCTGGAGCTGGGGGGAATCTGACTTAGGTAAAGTCAACTTGCCAAAAAACAGAGCCGAGGAGACAGCCAGCACTTATGGGGATTGAGCTTTTGACCTTGGCCTCATTTGTTCTGCACTGTAAGCACTGGCCACAGAGTTCTGCTTTTGCTGGAGTTTGCTAATAGTAGTTTTTGAAGTTTAACTTTTTACCGGGAGAAACTAGTGTGCAGGCCAGCCCACATGTGCAATGCCCTGTTCCAGCATGATGAAAATGGGTTGAAGATCCTGCACTTGGAGTTAGAGACCTGGGCTCTAGGTCCTTACTACTTTTGGGCAAGCCTATGGGAAGCTACATCCGTTTGAATTAAAATTGTAAATGGTACACCTGTGCTTCTTAGCTTGTAGGGCTGCTTGGATGATAATAATATAAAAATATGAATGTGAATGTATTTGGTAAAATGTAACATGCATTCTGGAAATTTGAAACATTGGATGCTAATACCCTCCTCCCAGACCCTGCACCTTCATCATCTGCTAAATCATGAAAGAAAAGATCTGACTCTTTTGATATCATTTTAGTGTCGATCACATAACAGAACTAAATAAGATCCTCAAATTCACGCAAAATGTGTCGTGTCTGCAGAACATGGATAGCAACTTGATTGATGATCAGAACACCACACCACCCATGTCATGTAAAGCTCAATCTCAATGTGACTTAATGGGGCAAAGGTCATGGGCATGGCACTGTGCCAGGTATTATTTGAAAAGTTAGGGCATTGTTTTTGTTCAGATAAGTTATATAATACTTCACATCAAAGGAAGCATTAATGTAGAGTGGACATGTCAGGGTGAAGTAGGAACAGCGGGAGAGACGTTTTGATCTTAGCTGTAACAAGGGCCAATTCATTTGACTTTGTGGCAAGAGGCTTATAAATACAGAGGGACTGTTCAAGGGAAGGAAGGCAGTGGTCAGCCTGGGAAGCAATGCAGAGGTCAGAGTAGACACCGCATCCCAATTTTTGCCATTTACAAATAGTATAACTTTGAACAGTTGCTTAACTTCGCCACTCCAGTTTCCATTGGTAAAGGCCAATGTGATGATGATGTTATGGTGTTGAGTAAATGTGATAACATCTCTGTAAATTTGTAGCAGTTCCCGGAACCCCATTAAACAGGATGTGTCCTTTTTATTTGGGTGACAGTGGTCACAGAAAGTGCCCCGTGGGAAGAGTACAAAAAGGAAGTGGCCACAAATGTGCAACAAAGAGATGATGCAGAGGGCCTGGAACAGGGATGAGAAATGGACATTCACACTGTAGAGAACCACAGTGTCAGAGGTTTTAAGGTGAGAACGGCGTGGAAGTGTCACTTGCAAGGAAAGAGGGGTCACAGTGCTTTCCTACTTTGGAAGTGGAAATAACACACCCAAAACATGGAAGGAAAAAAACATCATACACACACAACAGTAGCAAGAACACAGGGTAGTCCATCAAATAAGGAGCCCAACCATACTTTTTCCAAATGATAGCATTCACTTAGATTTTAAAAATAAAATGCACATCATGCACCCTTATGAGGATCTGAGAGCCCCCCTTAAAATGTGAGAGCAGCTCATACGAACTCTCCCCGAGGCATGATTGAGCGTACCTGTCCTGGGACAGCAGCTTGGCTCCAGATGGTCCCCGCCAGGAGGCCGCTGCTAAGCCTTCTGCACGCGAGGCTTTATGGTGGCCCAGCAACCGCTCTTCCCCGGGCAAGCCTGAAGTGAATTGGGAGAGGGTGAGTTTCCACAAAGAAGCACTACCTTTGCCACCAAAGGCAGGAAATAGATGGCTGACCCCAACAGCGCATTTATCCCCTGATGAGCACATCACTCTAAAACCTGGAATTTGATTCAAATGAAGTCATCCAGCAGGCTCTTATCAGTGAGAAAAATCTGGCTCCTTAAAGGCCCAGCAGAGGGGACAATAAATTGATACTATCACCGCAATTCTTCCTGCCACTGTCTTCTAGGAATCCTTGCTGGCTTAGAATGGTAGCTATTTTCATCTAGAAAAACATTTTTTCTCTTCAATTCTGTAAGTGGATGGAGGGTCTGGAGAGAGCAAAATAAATCAGCAATTGACATGCCCCAAAGACAGAAGGCCAGGGCCTGGAGCAGGGAGTGTGAGGACAGTGGCTTTGAATGTATTATTAGTAGCAGATATCCCACATCCACGCTCAGTCCCGAGGCTTTCATTGAATATGAGTCAGCGCTTTCTGGTGGTTTCCAACTAACCTACAATTGCCATCTGTGGAGAATGTCATTCAAAGAATCCCTGCCCATTAGAAAAAGTAGACGAATCTCTAAAATCGATGCTATTTACCCCTCTCGGATCGCTTCTACCCTCCTGCATGTTTAAGACCAAGCCTTTGGCCAAGATTTAACTAGAAGCATTTAGAAACAGAACAGGATCTGGCATTACACAATGAAAACACACCCTTGGAAAAGAAAACATTTTAGGGACTGGGAAGAAATAAAGAATAGATTAACAATGGCTTAATGTTACATGAGTCTTAGAGGCCAGCTCTCTCTCACCACCCCCTATTCCTGATTTTTTTTTTAAGGGGCCTATTCAACCTTTTCATGAATATTGCTGAGACTCCAGCATTTCCTCACCCCCCTCCCAGACTCCCACCGTCCTTGAAGGAGGTAAGCTACTGCCCCTTCTGCTTTTTACCTGGGAGAGCCACATGGCTTCGTTCACCTATTTTGGTGTCAGTGTGAAATTTTTCTTAGGGTTCAGGCACCCAGGTGGAAAACCCATCTAGTTAAATGTTTCATGATTCTAAAAAAATGTGAGCATCTGAGATACTCAGAACAAGCTCATCCTGCAATAGTGAGCGATAAATAGAAACCAAATTATTTACAGCATCTTCAACTGGTATGTAGCAGAATGGCAAATGGGTGGATTTTTTGTAAGAATACTTGCTAATGGTTCTCCAGATGGATTCCCTGCTAATTCTTCTCGCCTCATGAATGATGGCCCTAGCTCGACACTGTCGCTGGGATCTTCATCTATTAATCATGGAGGCTGCTTTCTTATTCGGTTGCCATAGTTTCAGTGCCTCAGATAGTGTTGGGGTGTCTGGGGAAAGGCCTCAGAGTTACTAGGGCTTGCAAGCCTTGCAGGTATGTTGGCAGTTGAGGTGCAATGAAAGAACTGAAACCTCTTCTATCACTCAGTGCTGTATTAAAAAAAGTCAACTCCTGAGAATGTCTCCCTGGACCTTGTTATGTGTGCATCCAGCTGATTTTACTCCAGGATTGGCCTCTTGCTCAGTCTTGCTGGTAAAGAATTACGGTCCAGGGACTGATGTCACTTTCATCTTTCGACAAGAAAGCAAAAGGGTGCGAACTCTTCATTAAGGCTATATTTATAGACGTGTAGGTAAAACCAGGGCGATCATGACTTTGCTCAAAATTCCAGGTTCATCATTCGGTCCTGGCTCTGCAGATTGCTAAATAAATAAAATGACTTCATGCAAGTTGTATGTTAGGTTTTCTTTTGGCCTTGTAAACATGTGCACTTTCTTTCAAGCTTAACCTTCATTTTTTTTTTCGGTTTGACACGTGACTGAGGAGCTGGAGACCATTTGACTGTCTTGGGCAACGTGGACCCCTAGGTCTACAAGTATGGGAGCATATTTTAGTTGTCTTAGGTTTGTGACCTCAGGGGTGATTAGGAAAGCGCTCCTGGTGTGTATATATTTATTTGTGTGACCTAGACAAGACTTGGAGGAGTAATTTGCTACAGGACAGAGAGATGCACACTCAGTGGTTGCTGAGCTCCGTGTGCCCTGCAGAACACAGCTTTCCTTTGTTAGGTAAATTTGGCCTTGTGAACAGATACCAGATACTGGTTGCTTCTTAATGTTTTTCTTCCCACTTCTCAACTGTACTTTCAAGGACTTTCACCAGTCTAAGCCAAGCCACTGGATTCCTTTGTAGATTAAAACATAAAATAATCTCACATTTGAAGCAAACAGCTTGAATGCCGGGGTATACAAAGCATCCAATGAAAATCCAGGCAGATTCTGAAGAAAACCTTGAATTCATTACAAATGGGTCTAATCTAGAAAATTAACCACCTTTTTTTTAAACTAGAAAATGACTAGTTTTTATTTCAGGATGAACTTCAAAAGCAGCCATTTTAAATTTCCCTGGATCCAGCCTGCCCAAATTTTTGTGGAAGATCAACGAGCATTTTGAATGCACGTGCCTATTATATTGACCCCTCCCTTAGCCAACCACACTAAATGATTGATTTTCAAGGCCAATAATTTGAAGTAAATTAAAAGGATAACATGGCCTTAATTGCCACTGGCTTCACCAGGCTTCTGGGCACCGGAATTCCTTGTGGAGAAACACTTTTAAGTGTCACTGCAGTTTTTGATCATGTGGTCTGGCTTATCCACAGTCTGCAATTATCCCCCAGCCACTCTCCAACTCCCCCTCAAAGATCTCCGTGAAGCTAGGAAAACTTGCATTTGTAAAGTCAGTATATGGACCTGGATTATTTGACAGCCTAAGAAAATAGGTCATGAGCTTCTGCTTTTAAACATGGAGTAGCGGGGGTACAGTGGGACTCATACTCACATCCAGAGCTTTTACTGTTGGAAAAAGTGTGTGACTTCAGATCGGTGTCCTCTTGACAATGACAAGATGGTGATGATTCTTGGGTGTCTTCCAACACGATATTGGGCACGTAGCCTTAAGTCAGCAGTACTTTTGTGGGGAAGTCAGTCAAATACAATGTGGACTTTAATTAACCTTAATGAATGATTGCTGATTGAAGATTTTCTTTTTCCAAAAGCATCAATGCGCTAGGCTGGAATTTGGTGGAACAATTTCGGACAGCACTGGCTTGCACATGCTTCCAGTAGCTTGTCATGCGAACCACACTGAGTTCTTATGATACAAGGTGATTCTGGATCATCTTCAAGATGGCCATGTAAAGAACAAAACATCACTTGGGGGCCAGCTGAAATGTACAAGTGATGTGGAAGATTTTGGATCTTTAGGGGAGCCATTTTTAATTCTAAGGGCATTTCCTTATCAAGATTGCTGAGAGTCATGGCTCCTAGCAGAATTTGAGGTGATTCCTTCCAAAGATCGACTGGGTCTTTTGAGTGGTACCCCAGTTCTTTAAAATTAAAGCTGCTTTATATGAGGTAGGGCAGTGGACTAGTGATATTTCCTTTACCCAAGAGCACTCTTATCAAGTGTACACACAATGATTGGGGAACACTGTAGGCGCTGGAGAGAATGAAGGCTTACTTTTGGTTAAAGGTACTTTTCCTCTGTCCCGAGTTTTAGAACAGCTATCCAGAAGCTGATTTTTCATGTCGATGCTCTATTCATATTCAACTAGAAGGTCTAATAAAGTCCAATGCAACATATGAATTAAATTTCTGCGTGAATCATCATTTTGGAACTGATACGAAACCCTCATAGTATGTAGCCCATCTTGCTTAGCATATTTTGTGTGTATGAATGATCAACCCCAACTGCTTTTGCAATTTCAGTTTACCAACCTGTGAGCACCTTCGTGGAGAAATTACCTCCATTGAATAAATTTGTAGTAACTGCTGCCCCGTGTTCTCAGGTAGCAATTGTCTGACACAATTTTCAGGATGCCTGTCCACATTGTGCAATCTGATTTTTACTTTCAATAGAAATTAAGTCAATACAGAAGCATAATCCCATGTTAGCCTGGCCAAGAGAAGATGTTGGTTTCAAAAGTAGGAAATATAGTGTAGGCTCATATGTAGCCAAGAGAGAAGAGGTAGGAAACATCTTTTGGACACTTGTCTCTTTTAAAGGGACGCTCAGAGTTCAGTGAGAAGTTTTCTATTAAAAAGTCAACTTTATCTACAAGGTGTTTCCTCTCATTTGTGGTGAGGGGAAGTCGAACATGTTGAATATGCTGATGAATTCATTCTCCTGGGATATTTCAGAGGGTGGAGCTTTCGCTTTCATATTTTGTCACCTCCAGAACACAAGACCTGTTAATATTGCCCAAACACATCCATTCCCAAGTATGAAAAGGACAACATAATTGCCTCTGCTGTTAGAAAACAGCCACATCCAGTTCCCCAGCAGATCCTTGAACATGCCAGGTGTGCAGGAGAAGGCTTTGAAACGTTGTGAATAGCTTGACATTAGCACATTGTTATTGAAATGCAAATAATTCTTCTGAGCAGAACTTGAAAGGGTTTGCTGTGGAGGGCTAGGACAATGGATTTTCTCACTCCTCTCAATCCCACCTAGGCCTTAACTGGAGGGCTCTGCTCCCTGACAAGTAATCATGATGCATTTGCATTGCATTGTTTTTCTCATGCCCATGTTTGAAGTGCAGACACACCTTCCCAGTGATGGCACCTTGTTGGGGTGAAGATGGGTTGGCTTCCAGCAGAGGTGTAAACTCAGGCTGCTTGCTCAGGAAGGAGTCCTGCAGAGTCCCACCTGGCATTTAGAAATTACTGATGATGATCAACATCATTACTAATAATAAAGCCCTCATTTATAGAGCACTTTTATATTTTAAAGTGCATTTGTAAACATCGCCTCATTTAATATCATTAAAACCTTGTGGGCTAGGCAGGGCAGGTATGATTATGCCCACTGAAAGATGAGATAACTGAGGTTCAGAGAGGTCAAATAATTTTCCTGAGAGCACATCGTTGGTGAGAGAAGCTCCCCAAGCTTCCGGATCTGACTTTGATGCTTTTTCATGGCATTGTAGTGTTTACTCATTACTTTATAAAAACCGATCGCAGTCTGTCAACCAAAGATGTTCTCAGTTGTACGCATCACGTCAGTTTCAGAGCAGCTTTCCAAGGTCTCCATCTGAGGCCTTTGTACAATTAGGACCCAAATTTCTCTGTGAAGTGCCATTTCTTGACATTAAATTCAGAGGCACTTAGAGTCTTGAATCTTTCATCTGAAAGGAGAGCATTTGAAAGAGGGAGGGTGTTTTTATTTGGGATTCTCGTCCTGTTTTATAGTAGGGATAAAACTAAACAGGAGAGTAGAAACTTTGACCCTGATTCAGGGTGGAATTGGAGAGACAGATGTAGAACCAGATATTCTGGTAGGAATATCCCCCTGCGTCCTACAACTTGTACCTCTAAAACAGAAGTCGTTTTCTAGCAAGAAATAGTGGGTAAGAGATTCCTCCTTCTAACACAGCTCATTTTACTCTCTGCTCCCTGCTGCTGCTCAGGCTAGAGAGAGCAGCAGGTTAGTTTAATTCAACAGGTAGGTGGTTAGCACTTACTCTCAGTAAGGAAAACTTCTAGAGGTTACAGATGCAGCGATGAATGAGTTTAGGATTGACTGGCTCATGGTGCGCCTGTGGTGGGTCAATCACCAGGCCCAGCTTCTAGTGCCAGCTCACAACAGTGCGAGGGCCCGAAGGAATCACCCCACAGCAGAATGGTCACAGGAAGCAGCACCCCTGTCCTCCTGGGAGGTCAGGCCAGGCACGTGAGTTGAGTCTAATGAACAAGTGAGGTTTCAGTAGAGGGGAGGTGAGGGATGGAAGAGCAGAGGGGCTCAGGGGAATTGGGGGGCCACCCGGCCAAAGCCTCCTGGTGACAAGAAGACCTGAGGCTGGAAAGCAGGACTGAGCGCAGACTTGGAAGGCT